GGCGGCGGCGCCTAGAAAATCTCGCGATATTTGCGGGGCCGCGCACCTCCACACCGAGGTGCTCGGGATTGGGAGATTGGGACAGCGCTGCCGATTGGCCAGAGGCCCGGACCGCCCTCCCGCGCTGAGCGACGGCGGGGGTGGGGGTGGCGCTCCCAGCTGGGGAGAGCGAAGTGACAGGTGGCAGCCCAGCACCGCCCCAGCCCTCCAGGACAGTTTCATAAACTAAGCCCGATGGGGTTCAGAGCACCCAGAACGGCCCAGTGCTGACACGCTGCGCCACAAGATGCGGATGAGGCCGATTACACGGTCGCGGCCCTCGTGTCCATTAGTGACGTCCGGCAGCTGCTCCGCGAGGCGGCGCAGTGATGTGAAGGACGGAGAACCGCAGGTTTCGTAACGTTGCTCGCGACGGCCCACGTTCAGGGTCTCGGTCTCCCCATTTAGTCTTTGCAGCCTGTGGCTGACCTGACCCTGAAGAATGTGAACCTGCCGGCAAAGGAGCCTACGGAATCGTAGCTGACTTCGCACCCCACTTCCTGCGCGCTGGGTCACGTTCCGCCCAGGAAACCCGGGCAGCCCAGCTCCTGGGTGAAGCCAGCGCACGGGCCGCCGAGCCTGATCTTGCTCTTGGGCAGTCGCGGGCCTGACAAAACCAAGTGGACACGTTTACTATCTGTACCTTTCAGTGCAGTGCAGGGTTGAGAACCAACGCCGGAGTGGCGGAGGTGTGCTCCCTGAGATGCAGGGAACAAAACCGCGGGCCTTGAGTACTCAGTCTCATTGCACTGATAGAGAAGTGCTCTGCACTAAGACAGGCTCCCGCCTCGCCTCCATTTTTTTTTTTTTTTTTCTTCACAGAACGTTTTGTTTTGGAAACGTAAGTTTGTGCTCTGCCCAATGTAACAAAATGGTTTGTGACACCATTGGTCTTTATCTTTTTTACCTTTTATTCTGTAATGGTAAGTCAATGGCGCTAACGAAGAATGTGTACTTTCAAACAACGAAGTTTAGGGGTTTCTTGTGTCAAATTATTAGTCCATCACTCGTAAATTCTGCACTTCATCAACCCTAGGACACACAAACAATCCAGGAAGATTCTGTGCAGTAAGAAGAGTAATTCCCCAGTTTCCAATAATATTTCCTCGTCTAAATAATTCATCAATGTTTTCTGCCATCCATGTCTTAATCAACATACTGCTCAAGGCCCCTTACCTTCTTTTCAATTTTTAAAAATTTTTATTTTAATGTAAGTAGATATTAATAAAGAAAATATAAAAAGTTATATGAAAAATAATTCTGCATAACAAAATAGAATAACAACAGTAAATACACTATGTATCATGATCTTAAAGGAATATATTTTCAATTGCTATCTCTCTTTCCAATAACACTATACCTTTTTTGCATAAACTATTTTGATTATTGACAAAGTATCTCACACTCAGTATAATTTTGAATAATTTCTTCCCATTTCACAGTATCTAATATACATTTTGGTTATTTTCACTTTGTTTCTCACACCGGAAAGACAATGCGATATTTAGTGTTTGATTGAAAGCCACTTAATTTCTTAAGTGGATTCAGGAGTTTCAACAGCTCTTCTCTTCTCCAAGCCTTTACCTGACCAACCCGCATGTTACAATTACAGTAATACGGGCTTTTTCTTCCCCCAGTATTCATAACAAAATTCCAGGCTCTACCCACTGACTCCCAAGGCCACTTCCGTATTTTCAGGTATTTGGTACAGCAGCATCCATTGCTTTTTCGGCACTCAATTTGTCCTAGTAATTCTGGATAATTCATAAAAAACAGAATGTCCCTGTAAGTTTTGGAGGCTGTGAAATCCAGTATCGTGGCACCAGCACCTGATGAAAGCATTCTTGCTTTATCTTCAAAGGACAGAATACAGATAGGCAAAAGCAGCATGAATCAATTCCTAAGGACACAGCACGCAACACATCTCCCAGGAGGCTCCACTGCCCGATACCTTTGCATTGGGATGAACTTTCCACCTAGGATTTTGGGGAAGTCAAATAGCATGAGGCATGTCAGTTTCAAGGTGAAATCTGAGCTCTAGCTTATATTTCCAAGAAGCCAAGTATAAAACATTTTCACTTACACGTATAGGAAGACCTGACAATGAAACCTGACACGTGTGCTGAAGTCTTAAGAATGTAGAAGGGACACCCGTTAACAGCAAAATGGACTCTGGGTTCTGTGGGTCACAGAAATGCAATGTTCCTGGCTACACGCTTAGACAAACATGAAAGTTTCCCACGCTGAGTATGCCGAATATACTTCCTTATCCCCACTCAGAATGTTAAGCTATGCCTGCTGCTCCCCTCTGGATAACCAACCCTAAGGCATCCAGACTTCCTTTGATGTTTCAAGGAGAAAATCAGTGGACTCGCTTAGATAGCACTGCACTAACACAGAACACTGCGGCCTGCCGCTGTGTACAGGATCGTAAACTTTTCTCAAACTGGGAGGAACTCCAGGGATTGAGGGAGGTACATGTTGCTTCACTCTACAGAGCAGAATACAGGCGCACAAAGTATAGCTGAAACTCCTCTAATGACATCAGATGCACTTGACACCTGTGAACCAAATTAATGGGAAGTCTCGGTGCCCAGAGTCTCACAAAGTCACAGGCAATGAGACTCAACCACTGCTAAGACAATTCCTCACTCCTGTTTGATTTTTAAAGAGACTATGATGACGGTCAGTCCCACCAAAACAGGACTCTCTGCACGACCTATACTGTCAGACCCACAGCTGCACAGCCGCTGGACCTGGCCTGACAGTTGGATGGTGTGGAAACAGAAGAGAATGACGAAGTCACCCTCACTCGCTCACTCTGACTTCCCATAGAGGACATCATGGCTTCTAGATGTCCATCTTTTAAACATCAGATTTTGTGTCTGTTTACCACCTCACTTTTCTTACCAGCAAAGCAAATACCAGCATGACAGCAACTCATTTTTAAACAGCTTTACTGAGAGAACAGAAGGCCCGAGTTACTTGGGTTGTCCGTATGTTTCTAATCTATGAAGCCAGCATATGGGGATGCTCAGAAATTACCAAGCAAGGCATGTTTTCTGAAGAGCAAAAGCTTAAGTGCAACAGTGACGTGTTCTCCATCCCTTCCCAGGGTTGTACTGATAGTTTACCTACATGTACTGCTCTCCTTAAGACCCACAGAGATTGAATTACACAGCTTGCTAAGGGTTCAGTGAATGTATATATTTTAACTGACTCAAGGATGAACACCCACTGATGGTTTGACTTATAATGACGACAGGAAAGTGATATGCATGCACTAGTTTCAAGACTAATGTTTCACAACAGTGGCGCCAGGCTACTCTCAAATGATGCTAGGCAGAATCACACGTGGTTGTGCAGGTAAGCGATCCACATTACACGGTGACTGTACTGAATGAATTATATTTACAACACCTATTCATGTAACAGACTAGATGACTTTGCACAGCCATGGACTTTTGTAAGTGATGTGAGCTCATTTTAGGGGAGACTCACTGATGATGAGTGGGTTAGGTATACTAAGTGTTTCTCCACATTTTGATATTTTCTTATCATGGATTTATAGAAATGTAACCCCACCCTATGTTGAAGAACATGTGATTTATGGAGAAGAGTATGCTGTACAATGTAGGAAATGATTCAGTGTTTAGATACTAAGTAGAAAGAAAAAAAAGGTTGAGGCTTTAGTTGGCCTCCCATTTACAACATCATGGCTTATAAGAAGTTACGCACAACACCAAATGATGCACTGCAGAGATCAGCACACAGTAACACAAAACAGAAACATACTATAACTGCGGATTTAGCTCAGTGGTTCCACTGCCTGCCTCACAAGCACAAGAACCTGAGTTTGATCCCCAGTACCAAAAAAAAAAAAAAACTGTAAATGTGTCCTAAAACTAGGAAAACAAAACCCATTCTGTTATAGAAATGTGCAGAATGTAAGAAATATCTAGAACCTGCTGCATGAGGACAGTGGAATAATTACAGTCTTATTATTTCCAATCAAACCCATCCACCCTGAAAAAGAACCGAATCAATGATGGACACAATAATAACATACATTTTAGATTTTCTTCAGATGAAGTATGGCATTATGGCTTTTATATTACTTACATTCATAGGCTTTCAAGACAGAGGAGTTTTTGTAGACAATGAAACTATTACATTTGACAGCTTTCTTTTATTTGTCTCATTGACATAGTTTCGATCCAGTGTACATGCTTACACATGGGCCAACTAAAGAGTTTTTCAGATCTCTTTTACTAATGATGTTTTTTTCAATACTGTGTTCTTGCAGCCCCGTGAACGGAACCCAGGTGCTAGAGGCTTTTCCACAATCTACCTGGACGTGACGCCCTCCTCTAGGCATCCTGAGGTGTGCTGTAGCCACCTACAGTGGTTGGGGGATGAAGAGGCCTTCCACATTCTTCTATGTAGGGTTTCTCGCGAGCATGAATCCTTATATGCTTCTGCAAGTAACCATAGCTCCTGAAGACTCTCCCACATTCCTCACATGCACAGTGTCGGTCCTCATTATGAGTTTTTCCATGCCTAAGCATTTTGCCGTACTCTCGGAAAGCTTTCCCACATAGCTCACACACATAAGGTTTCTCTCCACTATGGTTTCTTTCATGTATTCGAAGAGTACTGGCACGAGTGAAGGCTTTTGCACAATGCTTACATATAAAAGGTTTCTCTCCAGTGTGGATTCTTTCATGTATTTCAAGGAAACTGGAACACCGGAAGGATTTCCCACATTGCTGGCACCTATAGGGTTTTTCTCCAGTGTGAATTTGTGCATGTCTTCGATAGTAGGTGGAACAAGCAAAAGTTTTCCCACATTGCACACATGTGTAAGGTTTCTCTCCAGTGTGAGTCCTTTCGTGGTTTCGAAGGTCACAGGGCCACTTAAAAGCTTTATCACATTTTTTACATTCATGGGGCCTCTCTGTACAGTCCTGATACTCAGATAGCCTGTGTCCATGGCTAATTATTATGTCTCTCGGAAACGATGAAAGACTACTGGCCACTTCTCTACACAGATGGCTTTTACGCCGTTTCACCCCAATTTTCTTCTTCATTCTATGATCTGGAATCCTGCCGCACATTTCTCCGTGTTGTCTATTTTCTTTATGTTTCAAGAATTTTTTCAGCACTTGACATCTACAATAAAAGGGCAACACATCACTAAGAGGTTTGTTAATGAATGACTGCACATTTATTAATAAGTACTAGATTTATATTTTAATGTCATCAGAAAATGTGTCAGCTTTACTCCCTGTATAAATTGTGTGAATCTGCATGGGATGAGTGCTCAGAAAGATTACACATCAAAGCACTGATAGTCATGGATTTCCTGCAACTGCTTCCAAGGTAACTACAGTGAAAACACTGAGTTACATTTACACACAGGTTTAGAATTTCTTATCCAAAATGCATGGGAGAATAATTGTTTTGAACTGTGGATTTTGAAATATTTGCATGTACATTATATCTGGAAAATGGAAGCCAAGTATAAACAAGAAAATTTCTTTATGTTTCACATACTCTTAATATGAAAAGCTGGAGAGTAGCCAATCACAAAGTATCTCACTTGTGGCATCTTGTGGTGCTCAAGAGTTCAGGATATTGCACCAGTTAGGATTGAAAATTTTTAAAATAAGAATGTTCCACCTGTATGCAGTTTAAGGAAAAGAAATCTGAAAGAAAACATTTTCAAGCTGGGATTGTTTTCTATGCTTCTTTCAAATATTCCCTGTAGGGGCCGGGGATTTAGCTCAGCAGTTCGGTGGCCTGCCTTGCAAGGGCAAGGACCCGA